TTCTCTTTTACAGATCAGGAAACTAATACTCAGGCTCAGGAACTTGCCCAAGAAGACATATTATGTAAGGGTCAGAATTAACCTTTGAATTTGGGTTATCTGACTTTTGGGTACTATGCTCTGTTGCTCGGTTGTCTTTATTAAGAAGTTATAATGAAACGAGAGCTCGTTAGTCATCTTGGGAATTGACCTAGAGGTGCAAAAGCAGAGGTAAATGCTTCTTTGAAAACTCTGTGGGGACAGCTTTAACAAAGCAGAGAAGTCCCATCAAATAAAGATGGTTTCAATGCAACTCTGTCCCTGTGTTACATTGTTCAAGTTGCTTAAACTCTCTGGGCCCCTATTTCTTCCTCAGCAAAATAAAATCATTGCATTAGAAGATCTCTGAGGTCTCTTCTTGCTTCAATGACTCTAATACTCTCTAATTTAAAGAAGCTTGTGAAATGAGAAAGGAAAAGAGGAAGTGAAGGTGGGGTTGGGGAGAACCCAGCCCATCAGCATAGAAGATTCTAGTTGAGCTTTTCTCACCTTCCTCAGCTGCTCGTGCACTGTTCCATAAAGAGCAGGGTTGGTTTTGTTTGTTTGCTTGCTTGCTTTTGACTTGGGTTCTTTAGGCAGGAATAGTGAACCAAAGAATTAATTATATATTTAGTGAGGTTACTGTGGACTCTACCTGTCAGGCTCCAGAGCACATATTGTTTCTTTCCATGTAATAACTATTCCAGTTATCTCTCTTTTCGGCTTCACAGATGCTACACAGATGAATTTCACAGTGGAACCCTCACACCGTCGTGTTTGCTGTTCAGCAAAGCAATGCTAGGCATTAGATGTGCTGAGACAGGGCCTTAGTCTTCTCAGGCTCGATTAAAATGTCACATTCGGTTAGGGTGGTTACTCGGGCATGCCTATCACATAGCACAACCCAGTAATTTTGCTTGCAAGTTTTGTGAAATTTCCAAGACACTGAAAGTGAAATACACTTAAGAATTCACACTACTCTCCAGATGGAGCTCACTTGTTTGGTTCATTAATGTAGTTCTAAATGAGTTGAGGGCAAGAAAAGGTGAAACTCCTAAATTTAGATGAAATAAACCACCTGGGTAAGTCTGAAAAAGGTGACCTTCATATCTGATAGAACATGGACTTTGAGTCAGATGGACCAGGGATTCAGAATCTGCCTCTGCAATTGACTTATTACAGGACTTAAGAAAATTACTAACCTCACTGAGCCTTGGTTTTACCACCAGTAAAGTGAAAATAATAATCCTTGTTTATGGGCCGGCCCGGTGGCGCACTGGATAGTGCGCCGCTTGGGAAGCGCGGCG